TTGTAGAAGTGGTGTTTTGGATGCTGGTATTAGTGATCATTGTATAGTATATGTAATTAGGAAATCTAGGAGAGAGGCTATAAGGCAACATAATACAGTAAAATTGAGATCTCTCAAAAAATACAGTCCACAAGTTTTTATAGAAGAACTTAGTAAGGTTGACTGGACTGAGGTTTTGCAGTGTGATGAGGTGGCTATGGCCTGGGATAGGTTTAAGATTACTTTTTTTAGAAGTTTTGAGTAAGGTTGCACCTTATAAAGAAATAAGAATTAAGCAAAGGACTGAACCTTGGATGAAGCATAGTATTTTAAAGGCAATTAAAGAGCGTGATGATAGTTTTAAGGTTTTTAAAAGGGATAAAAATAATGATAATTTTGAGATATTTAAACGTAAATGGAATAAGGTAATAGAGGCTAAAATAACTTTTTTAAGGATAAGATTAGTGAAATGAAGCAGGATTCTCAAAAATTATGGAGAGTATAAATTAATTAAATGACTTAGGGTATCAGGAAAAAACTAAAATAAAATGTCGGATTATATAAGGAAAGAAATGGATAAAGGGAAGTTAAGTGTGATGGTACTGTTAAGATCTACAAAAAGCGTTTGAGACAATCGATCACAGTATTCTGCTTTTAAAAGTTAAAGCAATGGGTTTTAGTAATACGGCCTGTAAATGGATTACGTCTTACCTTGAAAATAGGTATCAAATAGTAGATTTAAATGGGGTGTTTTTGGATTGTTTGACCATTTCATATGGGGTTCCGCAAGGGAGTGTATTAGGTCCTTTACTTTTTTTATTATATATTAATGATTTAAAAATGGCCTGTTCAAATAAGCTTTTATTATATGCAGATGATGCAGCAAAAATTGTGTCTCATGAGAGGAAGGAAAATATTGAAAATGAATTAAGTAGAGAGATTGAAGGGGTCTCCAAATGGTTTTGCCATAATAAACTGTCTTTACATTTGGGGAAAACTGTTATATTATTTGGCTCGGCTGCTAAATTGAAAAAAAATTCTGTAGATTAGAGGTAAAGGTTGGAGGTCAAATTATTACACCTAAACGAAAAGTAAAATATTTGGGTTGTGTTTTGGACAGTAATTTGACAGGAGAAAAGATGGCTGCTTTAGCTCATTCAAAAAATTGTAATCAAATAACATTTTTAGCAAGACAGTCGGCTTTCTTAGATACTGAAACTTTAAAAATGTTGGCTGGTGCATTAGTGCAGTCACACTTTGATTATGCTGCAGTTTTGTGGTATAGCAGTATTTCAAAGAAAAAAATAAATAAATTGCAGACTGCTCAAAATAAGTTGTGTAGGGTTATTTTGAAAGTACATCCACTGATGCATTTGCGAGATGAACATTATAGGAAAATTAGTTTTTTAAAAGTCGAAAAAAGGGTAACTTTTTTTTTTTAAACTGGTGATGGTGTTTAAGATATTAAAGAAAATGGTTCCAAAGTATTTGTTGGAATATTTTGTATTTGTAAGAGAGGTTCACTGTCATTCGACAAGGCCGAGTAGTAATGATATATATAGGTTTAAGAGTGAAATGTGAAAAAAAAATTATATACTAGCTCTGTTGCTTGGAATAAACTACCAGGGTGTTTTCAAGAGATACAAGTGGATAGTATTTTTAGAAGGGAAGTTAAAAAAAATGGTGGGTTTATCATTGATGTTTTGAAGTTTGTGTGGTGAGTTTCTAAACTTGATGTGGATAGCACTCCATTTATGATTTGTACATCCATTTTTTTTTTAAATACAGAGGACCACAATGGAAATAAGCCGAAGGCTTTTTTGTGTATTTTATCCTCAACAGTTTTGAAATGTGTATAAATCAGTCTTTCTGGACTTTTTTGAAAATTACATTTTGTCAAATAAAACAAACAAACAAAAAGCTTAGCTGGCTGGGTGCAGACCCAAGAGATGTCAGCTGGAGAGGACTTAGAAATCTATTGAATCTTTTGTGAATATATATAATCCCATTTAGCCCTAGATCAGTGTTATTTTGCTGTATTTTATAGTGTTTATTAATATCTTGAATTAGCTTTTATTTTTATAGTTTGTTTTCATTTTCACTTTTAGTAATTTTGTGCTTTGTTGTAATAGTTTTGTTTTATTCTATTTAGCTTTAATTCATATATATTTCATATTTTAGTTGTAGTAATTTTAGTAATTCAACTTATATCATGCATTTGCCAAGAAAACATTTTTTGTTTTTTCATGTTATTTATCCATTTATTTGATTTAATATTACGAAAGTACATCCACTGATGCATTTGCGAGATGAACATTATAGGAAAATTAGTTTTTTAAAAGTCGAAAAAAAGGTTGTTTTTTTAAATTGGCAATGGTGTTTAAGATATTAAAGAAAATGGTTCCAAAGTATTTGTTGGAATATTTTGTATTTGTAAGAGAGGTTCACTGTCATTCGACAAGGCCGAGTAGTAATGATATATATAGGTTTAAGAGTGAAATGTGAAAAAAAAATTATATACTAGCTCTGTTGCTTGGAATAAACTACCAGGGTGTTTTCAAGAGATACAAGTGGATAGTATTTTTAGAAGGGAAGTTAAAAAAAATGGTGGGTTTATCATTGATGTTTTGAAGTTTGTGTGGTGAGTTTCTAAACTTGATGTGGATAGCACTCCATTTATGATTTGTACATCCATTTTTTTTTTAAATACAGAGGACCACAATGGAAATAAGCCGAAGGCTTTTTTGTGTATTTTATCCTCAACAGTTTTGAAATGGGTATGAATTAGTCTTTGTGGACTTTTTTGTAACTGGCAAAGATATGGCACAGTGAGCAATGGCTAATGTGGCTGTGAGCATAAAGTGGCCATTATATGATGCCGCAAATGTGGCCCAGTTATCCTCAAACATATTTGGGCCAGTTTTGGCAAAGACATGGCACAGTGAGCACTGGCTAATGTGGCTGTGAGCCTAAAGTGGCCCTTATATGATGCCGCAAATGTGGCCCAGTTATCCTCAAACATATTTGGGCCAGTTTTGGCAAAGACATGGCACAGTGAGCACTGGCTAATGTGGCTGTGAGCCTAAAGTGGCCCTTATATGATGCCGCAAATGTGGCCCGCATATAAAATGAAAAATATTGCCCAAATAATGAATAATTTGGAACACTTTTGGCAAATATACGGCACAGTCAGCATTGGCTAATCAGTGTGTAAGCCAACTTGTCCAACATTTGACATGGCAAATGTGCCCCATATATTATAAAACAGATGAGGACCACTTCTGGTTGTAACACTTGACACAGGCTAATTGAAATGGAAGCTTGAAATTGTAAATATGGCCTAATAGAATTTGGCTACTTTTAGTAGGATGCAACACAGTTAACTGATGCAGGGTGATTTGCATGTGAGTCTTAAGAAGGCTACATAGTCAGCAATTTATTTTTTGAAACATGCTTTTAATGGCCGTTTTTTTATATGTGTACTGTGCAGCATAAAAACAGAAGTGCACTATAATGATTGTACTCTTACTGTCACAGTTTCTGTTCATTTGGACTTTGTTTTCCTTTTGCACTATATCCCTTTTTGTGTTGATTGTATTATTCTGTTCAGATAATGATTGTACTCTTACTGTCACAGTTTCTGTTCATTTGGACTTTGTTTTCCTTTTGCACCATATCCCTTGTTGTGTTGATTGTATTATTCTGTTTGGTCTGGGTCCTTAAGTTCCTGTATGTTCACTTTGCGTTTGTCTGGTCTTACGTCTACATGTCTTAAATGTTGCTGTGCTACTTTGTGTTTAGATTTACCCTTGTTGGATTAAAGACTTATGATATATAACCTGTCATCTTCGTTGTGCGCTCTTCAACACAGCGTATCTATTATTGATGCAAAGTCCAATTCATTTCCGCAAAGCAGTACTTTTCGGACAGATCGGTTCATTGAACCAGTTCAAAAAGCCAATTCATTGGTTCCTGACGTCATCAAGCAATAACGTCTCTACGCATTTCTTTTCTAGCAACTCAGTGCCATGTTGTATCAATGGAAAATTCAAATAAGTAATTTGTGTCAACGCATATTGAAACATTCAAAAATAAAGCTATTTGTGTGAAAGCATATTGCTGATTATTGCCATATAATTCACTTAAGTTAATGGTGTTTGTGGTCAGTTTTATTTGCGGATCCTCAGATACGACTGACTGACTAATATTGACTAGCCTACAACTTGGATAAGATTCCTAAAAGTTTCGCACCTACAGCACACATTACAGACATTGATGCACAGACGCGGATATGTTCTACATGTCTACAGTATAAACGATGAATAAACCAGTCTTATAAACTCCTTGATTTCGCTTAAGCAACTTTAAATATAATATGCATGCACAATAAACTATTGTAAAATTTACTTACATCACTCGACAGAAAGGTTTTTCCAGGTTTTAATCAAATGTAAATTAATAACAGTCATAATAAACAAACATATTTCCAGTACGCGCCTCAGGCTTGCACAGCCTTGTTTGCGATGGCGCCGACGCTGATGGCTGCCTCCGTGGCGTGCTCCGCAGTTGTTTTTATGTTTTTGTACTTATTTGAACATTTATGGAGGACATTTTTAAATTTCTCTTTGCAATGTTGAGTATTGTTGGTGCATATCTCACTTAAAGGTGACATGTCATGAAAATCGGACTTTTCCAGGTTTTAAGTGCTATAATCATGTCCCCGGTGCATCTACCAACCAAGGAAACGTGAAAAAGATTAACCCAGTAACTTTGTTTTGGTAAGCCTTTCTCTGCATGGTCTGAGAAAACGAGTGCATCTGATTTCGCTGCCTTAGTGATGTGGCAAAGGGATCTCATTATAATATTACTGCCCCTTAATCTGTAAGTTTCCACCCACAGATTTCTTAGTGTGGCACAGATAATGTATATTTATTGTTTATTTAGTTCATTATTAGCTAAAATGTGGCTGTGTAGTGGCCTGCTTGTGGACCACTGCCAAAATGCCACCATTCCATGCAGCATATTTTCATGGCTGACATGCGGCCTACCTATGGCTTGCTTGTGGCCCAAATTTGGCAAACAGGAGCGGACCTCCCAAGTGCCATCATTTTTCACAGTATATGGGCCGGAGTAAGGTGTTGGGTCTAGGCCAGTATTGAAATCAATGTGGCCCAGATTTGGGCCAGTTCTGCTTTATTTTGTTTATTCATGGCTGACATCGGGCCTTCCTTTGGCTTGCTTGTGGCCAAAATTATGCAAACAGGAGTGGACTGCCCAAGTGCCATCATTCTTCACAGTATGTGGGCCGGAGCAAGGCGTTGGATCTGGGCCAGAATTAAAATCAATGTGGTCAAGATTTGGGCCAGTTCTGCTGTATTTGGTTTATTCATGGCTGACATTGGGCCTTCTTCTTTGCTTGCTCGTGGCCCAAATCTGGCAAACAGGAGTGGACCGCCCAAATGCCATCATTCTTCACAGTATGTGGGCCGGAGTAAGGTGTTGGATCTGGGCCAGAATTAAAATCAATGTGGCCCAGATTTGGGCCAGTTCTGCTTTATTTGGTTTATTTATGGCTGACACTGGGCCTTCCTATGGCTTGCTTGTGGCCCAAATCTGGCAAAAAGGAGCGGACCGCACAATTGCCATCATTCCACGCGGTATGTGGGCCAGATGACAGTGTCAGGTGTGGGCCTGATCTGGGCCTCAGGAATTTTGCTGTCTGGGTGGGATCCACCTGCTGTCTATAAAAGACTGAAGTGCGATGATGAAATCAGATGCTGCTTCGAGACCACCTGAAGAGATATTCTGGCACCAGAACCATCGCTGATATTGCCTTGAGCAAAGACCTTTTCAGATGTATACTTTATTTAATACTTATATACGTAGTTGTAGAATATTTGTACTGCTTACTTACTAATTGTAACAATAAACTGACTTGTATTTATATAACACAAGTCTGCCCTGGCATTGATTTATAGCTAAGAACAAACCACGGAGACGTCTTCTGTGACCTGCTTTGTAAGTATGAACTTAGATGCTTATGAGATAGGACAGATTTGACTTAGTTTACCTAACCTGAGAATAAATAAAATAAGGTAGAAGGTGTAGGTGTCACGCCCGGTTGCCTGCACCACTGTGAGGCTTTAGAGGGCGTTCCTGTTTTGTGTTCCTGCCTGTTCTGGTCATGGACTCCATTTCCCATCATGCTTTGTTTTCATTAGTGTCTACCTGGTTCAGCTGTGTTCCATTTCCCGTTTGGTCCTGTGTTTGGGTATATTAAGCCCTGGTCTGCTATTGTCGGTGTGAGTTGTTATGTATTTTGGATGCTTATTTCTGTGAATTATCATTAAAGGATCTTGAACTGCATTTGGACCCGCTGCCTGTTGCCTACTTGTGTTCAATCGTAACAGAACAACTCACCCCAACAAGGGATCCAGCAGTTTTTTATCATGCGCCCACGTCAAGGTACTCGTTGTGACCCTTTAAAGAAACTTTGTTCCATTTATCAAAGGGGACGTAATATTGAGGCTTATGTGGAGGAGTTTCTTTCGTATTGCCACCTTGTACCTGGTGATGATGCATTGCTGAGGGACTGTTTTTGGAGTGGGCTTGACCTGGATATCAGCCTCAACTTGCCTGATGTGCAAGGACTTGTGCAAAGAAAAAAGCTCTTTCTGTAAAGAGTGCCTTTCCACTGTATCTCAGTGAATGCTACAAGAGCACACTGATCAGGCAAGCTTGCCTCTACTGCACTGCGTACTGCATCACTGTACAAGTCTGCATGGAAAGGGGTGGACTGCTTCACTTGCAAAATAGGAGGAAAGACAGAACTGGAGTATAGATATGTTTGGAGAAGTTGGTGGTTATTTGCAAGTGTCTGGCAGACATTCTTGAAGTTGTGTTCTTCTCACACATCTTTTAAAATAGGAATGCTTACTCTCAAATCTCATTGTCCACAATCTTATTAGAGGTCCAAACTTGAGTATCAAAGCAGGATAGTGGACAATGAGTTTACAATCAGGAAACATCTCCTTTCTTGTCTCCAAATACTCCACAATGAGAACACTGAGCAAAGCAACTTGAGAGTGAGATATTTTAGGGACACATATTAATTCCACAAGTTCTTTCAGCTGGATCGTTAGCTGCCATATCGGATCATCTGTGTCTGTAATCTTTTCACTTATTAGAATAGGAAGAAGCCTCAGGAGAGACCAGTTTTCTGTTGCCTTGCCACCTATTTTATCTCGTTTTTCTGCAACCTCTGAAAGAGTAGAAGTGGCATCAGATCCATGATAGCTAAACTGCTTGATTCTTCGGTTTAGCTGACTATAGGTGAAAAATTTCTTCACCTTCACGAAGTACTTGATGTAAATGGCCAAGTCACATGCCACAACTCCTTCAAACACATCATGACCAATACAAGGTGGGAGGCCAGGCTGACAGACATGAAAGTAAGTGAGGGAGTTGAAAACGGAATCAAATTTTACACCTCTGCTTTCTGTCAGGGCACCACTTCGTATCTCTTGTACTTGCCTCATTGTAGTTTTGCACTGTTCTGGGTGGGGTAACTTTTTGAAAATCAAGGAGCTCACTTCTAGTTGCCAAGCAATATCTACAGAAGTAAGTGGAAGCACTGAAATTCTCTGTGAAACCTCCAATTTGGTGAGACCCTAAATTATCTCCGGCAATGCAAAACATTGTTGCCTTAACAACATGCCCAGAGATGACAAGCCCATTTGCCTCCAGTTCCTTTATATCTGACAGCATTGTGGAGAACACTTTGTCGTGGCCAAAATATTTAAAGTGTTCCTCTCTACACAAGAGCACAAGCTGCAAGTTTTCAATGCTGGAACGATAAAATGGGTCAAGGTTGGCCAATGTAAAGTAAACCCCAAGTATCTTGTTTTTTTTTTT